GTGAGAGAGAGAGAGAGAGAGAGAGAGAGAGAGAGAGAGAGAGAGAGAGAGAGAGAGAGAGAGAGAGAGAGAGAGAGAGAGAGAGAGAGTTTGTATATTTCTTTTAACACACGACCCCCTGTTGAGTCAGTGAAGGCCCGACAAAACCATCTGTCATGCTTTTTTTCTGTGGAGTTATGTTTAGCGGACATGACAGCACACACATTATTCATGGACCCCATGGGATAATGGCAGTAGGGTGCACTCGGAGGGTCATACTACCTCTTATAATCAAGGAGACACGAAGTCCCACTCAACGCACTCGTTCTGGCTCGTCGAAAAATTGAGAACAGTGTGCGGATTGGTGGTTGCAAGCTCTGCCTCTTCCAGAGAACAATCTGGCTGACCCTTTCGGACCTTTCCCCTCCACTCTACCTGGCCAGGCTGCATTTGTATGTGTGTTAGACAGATTCTGTCACTGCTGGTGAGGGGACCTCTTGAGAGGAGGTCGTTGTGCCATCCCATTGTGCTTACATACAGGCACATTCCAGTTAGCATGTGCGCGACATTCTTGCTGCTCTGATCACTATGAACTTATGAAGGGATGGTCACTGCCAGCCGCTGCCATGAAAACTGCGACCCGTGTCTATCTTGCATTCATTTCCCTTAGGGCCTTAGCCCCTTATTAGTTGCCCGATATGCCATTGTGGACTTTTTTTTTTTCTCTTTTTTGGGGTGGGGGGAAGGGGGGGGCGGGGGGGGACAAGGTGACATGCTATTCTTGAATAACTCTGAGCAGGAGCCTGCTTTCTTGCGGGCATGTCATATGTCGTCAATGTTTTAGGAAGCTGCGATGGATTTGGCTTTGATCGACCAATCCAACAGGGACCATTCTTCTATCTAACTCTTAAAGAATTCAACCACCAGTACATCCAAGCCTATTTTTGGCTTTGTGGCCGGTCTGCTTTGTTCATTTTTTGCCCTGCCGCATTTTGGTCTTTCTTTGCCCTGGCGCTGGCAGCCATTTTGGTCCGGGAGGCCGAGTCGCATCTTCTTTTCTTGAACCTTGTCCCCTTGCTTAAACCACCAGTACTTGGCCCATTCATCGGCTGCAGGAAAAAAACAGAGTAGAAGCGTTTCTAGTCGGATGAATTTGAGCGCGTCCGTATCGCCCCTTTCGTTTATCATTGTAGCGGCTGGTAACACGCCGTGACTTTCGGAGGTACTGATAGTTTAAAAAAAGGTGAAAATGATCCATACACCATGGGCGTCTGTAGTCCAACGGTTAGGATATTTGCCTTCCAAGCAAAAGACCCGGGTTCGACTCCCGGCAGACGCACTGAGCGGGTATTTTTGAACTGC